AACTGAATGGTTCCCAATTGGCAAAGGAGTCAGACAAGGCTGCATCCTCTCATCCAATCTGTTCAACTTATATGAAGACATATTATAAGAAAAGATATAACAATACACACTACATAATAAGCCAGGAAAAGAGGGGGGCATTACAATACAAATTCTGTTAAAATAATGACTTCCAACTATATTTTCTCAGGTCCTAACTGGGCAAATCAGGGGCAGGGCTGGTATGGAAAAGACAATTTTTTTTCCTGGATTTTGTGAAGCCATTAAGCTTAAAACTGTTTCAAATCATTATCATCACATAGGAAATGCCATCTGGAGCTTCAGCCTTCGTTGGGTTTTTCATCTCCCAAATCTATCTCTCCTGGTTGAAAATGAAATCCAGCCCACCAACTGTATTTATTTTTTAATCAGGAGAACAAAGATTGAATGTTATGGAAGTCAGAGGTGCACTTCGAGGAAGGAGGGGAAATGGAAAGCATTTGGGGTAGGGGAGGAGGTGGCCAGGTTGCCCACCTTGTGATGGATGCTAGTCCTTGCATTTGAAGGAGAAAACAATCTTTGGGGAGGGTGAGAGGAAAGGAAGGAAGGAAAGAAGGAAGGAATTTAATGTGGAACTCCACAGTTGGGGAACTGCTGGAGACATTTGCTGAAATCCTCCCAGTCTGATGGTGGTTGATGGATTCTATGAGTGCATCTATACTATAGTAATCATGCAGTTTGACACTACTTTAAGTGCTACAGCTCCATCCTATGGAATCCTGGGGTTTATAGTTTTACAAGATCTTTAGCTGTCACCTGCCAAAGAGGAGTGGTGTTTCATGAAATTACAATTCCCAGGTCTCTATAGAATGGAGTCATGGAAGCTAAAGTGGGCTCAAACTACATTATTTCGACCGTGTAGATCTGACCCATATCATTTGTGTAATAAATCTGTTTTGGATTTTACTCTGAACTTTAAAGGAGCTATCCAAGGATGTGAAGCCTATCCCTTAGGATAGTTCCTGTCAAGTTCAGGCTATAACCCAGAATGGATCCACTACCCCAATGACATGGAAACCACCAGCTCCCAGGATCCTAAACCCAACTGTTTTACAGATAAAAAGGGAGAGCTTGGAAAAGTTACTTTAGGGGCTGGAATCCCCAGAATCCCTCCATCCAACATGATCGTAGGCAAGCCACATACCAAGCTAGTCAGGGAAT